TCAAACCTTCTGGAGAATGAAATCAACTTACAATAAGTTTATAAGATACTCGGAGCGGTGAGCTACGTTCTAACATATCAATTCCTGATATGTTAGAACACAAATGGGGTTACTTCTTATGCTTATCATTCATTTTATCAGTGTATCATTGACTATTCAGATGTGTTTGAAGTATTCGCCCATCGCTTTTGACTGCAATCCTGAAATTGTAATTTTTTTGAGAAAATGAAATCACGGAAACGATACATTGCAGTTAAATCGCATTACATCAGTAGATTATATCATTCATTTACATTAAACTGTCATTCCATGTTCTCCAGATTTGTGTTGTCGTATTGAACAGCTGCATGTTCTGTGCTTGTTCGTCGATCGAATGAACAAGGAATAATGGATCGGTGCTATTTTCCTCTCGAAATATTTGATTCGCATGAATCATCACTTTCCTTCCCACAGTCACGTGCCAAATTCTTACTGAATTCAATTCTCTGAATTGAATTGAATTCAATTCATTTGTGCAATTATTCGGAGGAATTTTACGAAAAGTGATTCTAGATAAAAGGAGATCGTAAAAGTTATTTGATTTGTTTTTATCAGAGGATCCATATTTTTATGAATGTGTCCTCTGTCATATCTATCAAATCGACATTGACTGGAGACCAATTTAACTTGGAATAACGCACTTATTCTGCTAGATTTAGTAAGAATATTTAAGTTCATTTTACATTGTTGAATATTAAAGTATATCACTTTATTGACACCTGAATTGAAGCATTTAAAAAGCTGATTTTCAGCGTAATATTATGACGTCGTAACCAATAATTTTCATGCATCCTTTCGTTCGTTTTTATGAAAATCGCGTATGTTGTATTATTTTATGAACATCGAATGATGTGGAACGATAATATCAATAGAAGTAATGATGGTAATATAATAACGATTATGATACCAAAATAATGTCATGTTTGACTATACTAATTATTCTGGTCCGTTCATATTGCCATTTCTTCTCGAGTCTCGCCAAATGTACTGACCAATTTCATTCCAGAATTTATACTTCTTTGCTTTACGTTTCATTTTATTTGGAATCATTTTTCAATGTTGTGGAAGTTCATTAGGAATATCAACTGTTTAATAGTGTGGTAGTGATTACAAAACGATATTCTCGTACATCATTTGTTGTTTTTGTGTTGATTACGATATGAAATAGGATCNTTGATCATTCAGATATATTCGCAAACCGACGACGATGGGTTCTTGCTGCGCTGAATTGGACACTCTCGTTGCAAATTGGTTGAAATGGGATAAGGTTGCATTTCAATCATTATACCGAGCTTATTTTCAAAAAATTTTATTTATTGCTGTTGAAGAATAGTGATGGTAGTTGTGCTGTTGTTTTATTATTACTATAACTATTATTATCAATTTGTTGTTGTTATATTTATTCTCAATTCTTTTAGAATGAAAAAGATCACAAAGAAATCGAAGATTTAGTTGCAAAAAA